GAGTGTGAGGCAGAGTACTCCAAGAGGGGCCCAGGCAGGTCAGGACGACATCAGGGTGCCAGTCTCAAGGTAATCATCTTGTTAATAGCCTCATAGATCATGTTCTTCTTAGGGTGCTCACCTTCAGAAAATAGAGTAGTAGGTATTCCAAGTGTACTAAAGTACATTTGACTGATTTTACAAATAAAACCTTGGTCTTCTGGGGCCTTTATGAAAACCTTTCTAGATGACACTGCAGGTCCCATCAGCAGCCTCAGTACTGAAGGGAGCCCTCACGGTCCCAGTGAGAAGAAGTGGAACAGTTCAGGCATAGGGCCTGAAGGCAGAGGGGCAGTGTTCTTACTTGCACCAGGATAGAGGACAGGTGTTGCTGGCCACACCCACCAGGCTCACTGTAATCAAAAGAAAAGATACGTGTCAGCGTGGGGACATGGGGAAACGGGAACCATTGTGCACTGCAGTGGGAAGGTAAAATGCTGCAGCCACCCTATGGCTTTGTGGTTGAGGGAGGTGGATTCCCACATGGCCAACAGCACAGTTTGAATTCTGGCCCCATTGGCAAGAAACACATCGGTCACATGGGGATGTATGCTCAAAGTCCCAGTAGGTTGGAGTTAGTGGAGGAGAAGGGATTATGGTTTGACCACTCCCCACTGGAGAATGGAGAGTTCTTTCTCCTTCCCTCCCTCCCTCTCAAGGGAGTGTGCCTACTCTCTGGTCAAAAGAAAAGGTGCAGCCACTGTGAAAAACAGTGTGGTGGTTCCTCAGAAAGTGAATAAATATATAATTACCATGTGACCCAGCAACTCTACTTGCACTTAAATAGTCCCAAAGAATAGAAAGTCAAGACTTGAGCAGATGTTGATGCATGAATGTTCACAGTGGCCGCCTTTACAATTGAAAAAAAAAAAAAAAGAAACCCAAGTGTCCACTGACACATTAATAAATAAAATGTGATATATCCATACGATGGACTATACTATCCTGAAAAAGGAGCCATGTTCTGACATGGACTCCAATATGGATGTACCTCAAGGACACCATACTAGATGAAGCCAGCAAATAGTGTTGGATTCTTTGGCTGACATGTCTACAGCAGGCACATCTAGAGGTGAAATCAGTAGTCGTTGACTTTGGCGAGGGGAGTCTTGGAGGAAAGAATAGAATGTAAAGGGGTTGACTGCTGGGGCCAGCAGATGACATAATGGTTATATCATTAGACTCCCACATGGCTGACTGCAGTTCAACTTGAAACTAATGCTGGGTGTGCATATGTGCCCCAAAATCGCTAGAAGAGAATGGAGGAGAAGGGATTGTGGCATGACCATCTCTCCTGGGGGTGATTTCTTGCTTTCTGTCTCTCTGTCACTCTGGCGAGCACATGCACCCTATAGCAAAAATCTCTCTTTAAAAAGGTGGGGAGGGTGACTTCTGAGAACAGGGCTGCTTTTTGGGGGTAAAGTTTTAGAAGTAGGTGGAGGTGATGTTGCATACCATTGTGTATTAAATGCTATTGAATTGTTCACTTCTGAATGAGTGAAAGAGAGTTTTTAAAACAGTGGGCTTAGGGACCACCAGTTGGCGTAATGACTGTGTTGCTGGACTCCCATGTAGTTGACAGCTGTTCGAGTCCCGGACCCTGTGGCTTAGAACTCACGCCGGGCGCGTGTGCATGCGTGCCCAAGATCCCAAGAGGAGAATGGAGGAGAAGGGATTGTGGCGTGGCCATCTCCCCTGGGGGGTGATTTCTTGCTTTCTGTCTCTCTGTCTCTCTCTGTCTGGCAAGTGCACGCGCCGTATAGCAAAAACCTCTCAAAGAAAAAAAAATGTGGGCTTGGAACCAGCTGGTGGTGTAGCGGTTACATTGCTGGACTCCCACATGGCCAACCATGGTTTGAGACCTAGACCTGATAGCTTAAAAACTCATACTGGGGACCAGCAGGTGGTATGTTGGTAAAGGATGCTGGATTCCCACATGACTGACCATGGTTTGAGTCCTGGGTTTGACGACTTGCTTTCTCACTTTCCCTCCCTCCCTCTCTCCTTCCCTCCCTCTGTCTCTCTCTCTTTCCGTCTCTGGTCAAATTGAAGGAAGGGAGGAAGGAAGGAAGGAAGCAAAGAGAGAGAGAGAAAGAAAATAATTAAAAAATAAATAAATAAAAGAAAACTCATGCCGGGTGTGTGTGTGCACATGCCCAAAATCCCAGAGGAGGATGGAGGAGAAGGGATTGCAGCATGGCCATCCCCCAAGGAGGTGATTTCTAGCTTTCTGTCTTTCTGGTGAGTGCATGTGCCCTATAGCAGAAATCTATAGCAGAAAACAGACAGACAGACAGTGGATTTACTGCTCCTGGGATTGTCCCATGTGTGGTGCATGTGGGTGGCATCTGAGTGAGCTGGCTGTCCCAGAAACTGCACTGCCTTGCTTACAACACACGCAGCAGACTAATGAGACCAATGAACCAAATTTAAAATTTTTAATTCAGAATGTTTAAAAATCTACTTGATTGGGGCCAGCAGTTGGCGTAGTAGTTAAGGCACTGCACTCCCTTGTGGCCAACCATGATTCAAGTCCCAGTCCTGGAGGCTTGCAACTCACATCAGGCACAGGTACGTGTTTGCCCAAAATCCCGAGAGAAGAAGGGATTGCAGCATGGCCATCCCCCCATGGGGGGTGACTTCTTACTTTCTCTCTGTCTGTCTTTCTCTGTCTCTGGCGAGTGCATGTGCCCTATATCAAAAATGTCTCAAAAACAAAACACCCCACAGAAACCTGTTTGATTGAATTAGTGGAAACTTTTAAGGATCTTTGGAACAACCCATACATGTAGATCTACTCTCCAGTTGTGAATTTTATGAAATTTAAATGCAGATCAAATATTTCTGATGGGATGCTGCTCACTGGATTTTTGTTGGGTTGCAAAGTGCATGGCAGACACAGAGCACATGGACGGTGTCCCAACCCCACAGCCTGGGTGTGTGTTTGGCCTGTGGGGTAATCAAGGCCTGAGGATAGTGACTGAATCCCCAACAGTGTTTGCCCACCTCTCACCTGTCTCTGCCCTGGCCCCAAGGTGCTGTCACTGGCCTTGAGCCCGAGTGAGTCTCTGCCCTGCGTCTTAGCACTGCAAGATGTGGGCAGGGCTCTGATGTGGAGACTGGTCCTGGCTGTAGAGTTACAGTGGGTACTCTGCAGGGTTTGTGAGTTCCAGCAACATATGCTCTGTGGACCTGATGAAGACAAAAGCAGAAACTCGAAGGGTGGCTTCTTTCCAGAGGCTTGTGTTCTGCAGATGCCCCCAACGTCTCTCCTGGCCATGCTGCTCCAGGAGACAGAGCTGCCAGGATACAGAGAGCTTTCCTAGGGAAAGCTTGTGTTCCCCATGTGGAAGGCGTTTGGTCGTATCAGTGTAGTAAAGAAGGGACAGAGTTCTCAGCTCTGGTCTTCCTGAGGCCCAGCCAGTCCCCGTCATGCAGACTGAAGTCAGAGCAAGCCGACCGAGCAGCATGCCTGGAGATGGGGATTGGTCCTGAGTTTCATGTGGACCCTGGCAGAGCAGAGCTGCTTACTGAACAGAGCAGGCATGGGGTGGGGTACAGTGGTCCTAAGAGAGTGGAAGGAATTTGGGGATGCTGATGTCACATTGCACTACAGATTTTTATCTTGCTTTTTCAGGTCCCAGGACCTCCTGCTCTCCTTGTGGCTTCCAGCACCTCCTTAGTGCCATCCTCTTGGTTAATTGCCTGCTTGAGAATGAGCCTGGGCTTTACAGGACAGGCCAGCATGTTCTAGGTGTCAGTGGGTTTTGGTGGCAAGATTTCATTGGGGAGGAGTGGGTGATGGTAAACGCAGTCTACAGTGCCACCTCTGGGGCCACACATGTCCCTGAACTTGGCGTAGTAGCTCTGCAGAGTGGTCATTTGTCTGTGAACCAGCTCCAGGCCCACTTTTCACAGTCCTCTACAGGTGACTGGGCAGGTTTCATCAATTGGTAGGAAGCTGCTCCTCCGTGGTAACACCTGCTCTGTGTATAACCTCTGCCACTCTCCCCACTCTGTGAGCAGCTTGGTTTCATCTTATCAGAGATGACAGGGCCAGGGCCAAGTAGGCAGACCCACTTAGGATTTCTTGGTCACCTTGGAAAGAACTTCCCCGTGGGCCCAGCCCCTGCCTCTGGGGGCCGTAGCCAATGTCCTTGCTCCCTGTATCCCTGTCTCATTGGGTAGCATGGCCAGGGTCTGTCCCAGGTGTCCTGCAACAGCTGAGCATCTGGGATATTCAGGCTCCACACTGCCCCTGCTGGTAGGCCACATTTCCACTTGGCTTTGAGTTTTTGTGGTAATGAAATAATTCCACAGACCCCATACTGAGGGCCGCTCTTGAGGCTAGTGGGTACTCTTTTCTCAACAGGGCTAACCTGTGCCATGTCTGTTGATATATCTGGCAGGCAGGTATCAGACTCGGGATGGCCTGCCTTGTCTTTCTCAAGCCAATGAAGGGCCCAGGTCTACGAATGGAGGACCCCCTCATGCTGCAAACCTGGCTGTATGGAGGAAGTGGTGGCTGGGCTCCTGAAGCTCCCAGCCAAGAGCAATGAGTCCCCAGGAGCTTCTGTCATGCATCAGACTAAATTTGGGCTTCTGGTCCCAGCTTCCCCAAGGTGTTACCCTCAGAAGCCAGATGGTTGCTGGTTGATGCGGAGCAGGGAAGACCTGGAAAGGCTCATGTGCGGTCCTCTTGATGAACTGGGGGTGGGCACTGCCTTTTTTCTGGTGATGGAGGACCTGAAGAAGAGGGACAAAGATGTCAAAAATGTAGGTCCCCACACCTCTTCACCTTGCTGTATTGCAGCAGACACATTCTCATGAGAGGGTCACGAGCTCCTTCCCAGATGGTGCCTCTCACTGAGCTGTAGGTCCTGGTTCAGCCCAGACACCCACCCTTTGTGGACTCTGCTGGGTCTAGCTCCTGTGCCTCATACCTTGATTCTTCTCCCTAGGTGAACCTGAGCAAGGTGGGCGAGTACTGGTGGAGTGCCATCCTGGAGGGAGAAGAGCCTATTGACATTGACAAGATCCACAAGGAGCGCTCCATGGCCACTGTGGACGAGGAAGAACAGGCAGTGCTGGACAGGCTCACCTTCGACTACCACCAGAAGCTGCAGGGCAAGCCACAGAGCCATGAGCTGGTACATATGGGCAGGGCTGACACTGGGGTAGGGGGGTAGGAGGAGGTATGTAACTCCTGCAGGCCAGCTTGGGCTGCCTGCATCACCTGATTGCAGCTTTTGGCTGCAACCCAAGCCTGGACAGAGCTCAGGTAGCAGGGCTTGTAAGGCATCTAATGTATCCAACGCTCCCTGCAGCACTGCAGGACCCTCACTGGAGGTGTGTGGGCCAGGGTCACAGCCAGGTCAGGTCTTGACTGTGGAGGACTGGTGCCAAGAGAGTAGTAGCCAAGTGTCAGGCCTGCCTGAGGCCTTCATGGAGTCAGGGCTGTGGGGGGAGCAGCAGGAAGAAAGTACACGACTGACCGGCGTCGCACCCAGTGCAGTCTGCCATGGCAACGAGAGTGATTAATCAGATATATACAGTCTTCCTATTTTAATAATCCCAGGAGCAGCTATTCAGGGAAGGAAGAGTTGCTTTCCTCTGATTATTTTTAACTTCCAGTGTCCCACATACATAGCACTGTGGGTTTGGGCCATGGAGTGGCTGTGGGCATGGGCCAGCCTCCAGATTCCCACCCCAGGAAATCATTTAGATTGCAAGTTTCCCTGCTGCTCTCCTGGAGGATTCCTACCTGGTGGCCTTGCCTTTGGTAATAGTGTTCTGTGAGCTCTACCACCATGTTGTTCCTTCTTGTCCATCCACACAGATGCCTCTGCTGCACAGGGAGTGCAGGGTGAGCACCAGTGCCCTACAGGAAGGGTGGGTGACTGAGCCAGGGCCCTTCACTGTGTCCCCAGAAAGAGGTTGACTTTTCAAGGTCACAGGACATGTTCAGGCTCCCAAGGAAGCAGCTCAAGCATCAGGGGTGAGGTTTGACCCTGGCCTGATTCCAGACCTTTTTCGGATTTCCAGACCTGATTCCAGACCTTTCTGTCCTTTCAGCCTTCCTGTCCCCAGCCCAGTTCTCTGTGGCAGAGAGTACCCTCTTGGTTTGGCCCCTTACCTAGGGCACAGCAAAGCTGAAGGAACTGTGATTTGTGTCCATATAAAGGTCACAGTGGCCTCAAGCAATAATTACGGTGTTCTCAGAGTGCACCTCAGCTGAGCCTTGCAGTCACAGTTTAATCCAGTCATGGGGCGTTTGCCTGTGGCAGCCATACTGAGGGCTGGGCCCTTTCCTTATTGTGGGGCT